AATGTGGTGGGGAGGCAGCAGCCAGCTGTTGGGTCATCCAGATGTTGGGGGCATCCCTGGGAGCTGCAGATGTGCCACATCCCTGGAATCTGGGACTGTTGCTGCCCGTGTTTCTCCTTCGCTCTGGGTCCTGGTGGCTGTGGGGCAAAAATCTGTGGGATGCTCAGGAGAGCATGGTGATTTTATGCAGGCTTGAAATGAAGTGGCAACTGGGACATCTGTGCCGGCGGCTTGGTGAGGAATAGCAGGGTGGGCCTCCTTCTTAGGGGCTGTGGGGCTCTGAGTGTTTGGGATGAATCCATCCCCCCATTGTCTCATCTGGGTGCTGATCAGTGTGGGTAAACAGCAGCATGTCCTGCCCTCATGTCCCTGATTCAGGGCAGGATCTTCACCTGGTCACTGTTCAGGAGCTGGGTTTGAACAGGAAACCTGGAGAGGGGCTTTGGACAAGGGCCTGTAGGGACAGGCCAAGGGGAATGGCTTTAACCTGCCCGAGGGGAGACTGAGATGAGCTCTTAGGCAGAAGCTCTTCCCTGTGAGGGTGCTGAGGCGCTGGCACAGGGTGCCCAGAGAAGCTGTGGCTGCCCCATCCCTGGCAGTGTTCAAGGCCAGGTTGGACACAGGGGCTTGGAGCAAGCTGCTCCAGTGGAAGGTGTCCCTGGAACTGGATGAGCTTTAAGGTCCTTTCCAACCCATCTCGGATTCTATGAAGCCATTGCTTTAGGGACAACTTTCCTGGCTTGCTCCAAGGAGGAACCACCCTGGAAGCCCAGCTGAGGTGGGCTGGTGTTATCTATGGTGTTATCTATGGAGACAAGGGGCTGGGGTCTTGCATCATCAGTGTTTCAGTATCTCCCTCAGAGCTGTGTTTGGTCCATTGATGCACAAGCCCCAGTGCTGCCTGTTAACATCACGAGAAGTTTTAACCTTCCTGGCACAACCTCAAACCTCCTTTCCCTCTTCTCCAGGGCTTTTCCTATATGCTTTTCTCCTGCTAAGTGGGGATATATGTGCTGGGAATCCCCTGCTGTGTCCCACGGGATAAGCTGGGATAAATATCCACCCCTAGAGCATCACTAAAGTGATCCCTATGGCAGACAGCTGGGGCTGGGGCTAAGCTGGAGCTCAGCACTGGCTATCTATGATGGATAAAGGGAAGGGGAGGAGGCTCTTTGGCCTTGGAGCAGTAGGTGGGAGCAGGGATGGGGCTGGTGAGGCTGCAGCAGGGGCAGGATGGAGGGGACAAGCAGGGAAGGCGAATGAGCTGGTGCCTCCCACCAGCCATAGCTATGTCCAGTCTGTCCATCAGCCTCTCTTCCCTTGTGTCCATCAGTCTGTCTGACCCCAGCATCCCCAGGCTGGGGTGGTCACTGGTGACTGCTGGGGACCACAACCCCATGGTGGGGCCCTTGCTAAGCAGGACCCCTTGGCCTGGGGAGGGTGGTCTTGATTTGAAGGCAGGGCTGCTATCTCCATGTGCCCTCATGGCCAGGGGGAGCAGCTTGGCACATCTGGCCACATGGTTGTGGCCAGCACGGGGCACATCTGGCCGGGCAGATGTGGGGCTTGGTGAGGGGGTCACAGCAGTTGTGTGTTTCCATCTCTCTTCTCCCCACTTCCCACAATGGGTTGTAGGTCATCCCAGCTCCCCAGTGTGCTGCTGTGGGGTGGGAAGGAGGGGACGCACATGGGGTCCCATCCCACCATGGGGCTGGGGTGGTTCCTTAGCCCCAGGGGGATCCAGGCAGCCCCAGGCTGGTCAGAGCCTGGCCCAGGATGGAGATCTGCTTTGTTGCTTGCAGTATCAAGCTACGAGGGTGGAAGGACCATATGGTCCCGTCTGCGCCGGTCTAATAAACACGGGATGCAGGTCAGGCACTGCAAATCCCATTAACTGGAGCCAGAGATCAGGGTTTAACCCTTCTGTCCCCCCACATCCACCCAGAAGTGCGGGCATGAGGGCCATGTTCCCTCCTGGGGGCTGCTAGAAACCAGGGCAGGGGCTGGGGACAGTGGTGTGGGCACTGGAGTCCCCTGAGCTGTTTTGCTTGTCTGCCCATATTTCCATCTATCCTTCTCCTTCCATTCATTTTCCTTCCATCTCCTAAACTGTTGTACTGTCCATTCATCTGTTCATCCATCCATCCACCTCCTGAGCCATTGTGATAACCTTCCATCCGTCCTCCTATCAATCCCTTCTTCTCCCTCTTCCTAGAGCTATTCTCTTGCTGTCCAGCCATTCCTGATCTGTCTGTCTCCTTCCATCCATCCATCCATCCATCCATCCATCCATCCATCCATCCATCCATCCATCCATCCACACATACTCTGTTCTCTCTGCTGGTTCAAATATCCTTATCCACCCTTCTTCCTCGCTACCTAGGCAGCAGCCATGCATCCATACATGTGTGCATCTCCTTCCTCCCTTCTCCCTCCCTCTCCTCCCTCTGTCCCATTGTGGCGCAGAGGCTCGGGCTGGGCTGTGATCCTGGCATCCCCCTGGGCTGGATGCGGCTGGATTGGCCCTTCTCCTGGCAGGATTAGTTTATGGCCAAGGAACGGAGGCGCCGGTCCTGTCCCCCTTCTGGCGACAGATTATAGCATCATTTAAATGCATTTTGTCTGTGGAACGAAATAGCTTCTCTGGGTGCCAGCGATCCTCCTGCACTGAACTCATGATGACCATCACATTAATCTCCATCCCAGCTTGTCCCTGCTGCTTTTCCCTGTCTGGCATGGCCAGGGTGCAGGTCTGTGCATGGGCTTGGTGATGGAGCCACCCGGGTTTCCCCATGGCACCGCGGTGCTTTATCTGAGTTGAACAGGTCCCCAGCTGAGAGTCCCTTTCCTTGCCCCTCCTGGTGCACAACCCTTATTTGCCATCAGAGAATCCTCACGGCAAGGAGGAAAGAGCTGATGGCTGCAGGTCTGGTTCTAGGGGTTAAAACCTGGTGCTATTTCAAAGCCTCTTTCCCCGGCTGTCGCCTCCTCCTCCGGTCCCGCCGGTACCTCATGAAGGGGTCAGGTTCGCGTTGCTCCAGGGGGTAAATCTTACTCCACAAATAACGTGGTGCCTTGGGAAAAATCCTTCTCTAATGGATAGGGACGGCGGGAGCTGCCGTGCCCGTGCCAGCCGGGATGCAGGGAGGATGCAAACCTTCACATGCCACAGCAGAAAACACCCTCCACGAGCCAGGGGAGCAGAAAGCCCCTTGCTGAGGGTTATTTCTGAGCAGAGAGGCACCCATGGGAGCTTCCTGAGGCTCGGCATCTCTCCTACAGCTCCCGGCTCCCCAGGAGGTGGGAAAACAGAGCGGGAGAGCAGGATGCTCTCAGCAGCAGGCAGGGTTAGCGTGGCAGGCACCGGAGCGGTGCCCATGGTGGTGCCGCCGGTGATGCTGGCCGTGCATCCCCAGCATCCATCCTGCCCCAGGGAATTCTGTGCCTGGCTCGCAGACAAGTTCCATCCCAGGCAGCTCAGCAGCGGATGCTGCCCCCCCCCTCCTTATCGAGTGCTAATCCTTTTATGAGCCCTTTAAGCTGCTTAACTCCCCTCAGCAGAGTTCCCTGGGTGGGCTGCGGGGTCCTGCTTCTCCTTCAGCCCCGGGCTATGGTCCTTGCTGGGGAAAGCCTTGATGTCCCGACATACTCCTCATCCCTGGCTGGGAATGGGGCTGAGCCCCTCCCAGGAGCCGAGCCATCACATCTGCACCTTTCACCGCTGTTTGACACGGGTAATTTGGGCTCTCCTGCTCGGGAGCCGCTTGGGAACGATTACAATCAGTGCAGGGAATGGGGCTGGCGGAGGGCGGGGGGGGGACCCGGGGCTCCTGGGAATTGCTGGCAGCCGCTGGTGGATGCAAAGACCTTGAGATGTCTTCCAGGCTCCCGCAGCTGCTGGCACAGTGCGTGCCGTCGGCTCGGCTCCGCTCCGGCCGCCTTCCGCAGCATCTGCTTCAGCAGGAAGATGCTCGTGGGTTTCCGTCCTCTTGCTGCCTGTGGCATAGGGATAAGCGGCTCCCTCCGAGGGGCTTGGGCAGCTCCATCCCTCGGGAGGCAGTGGCTGGCACTGGCTGCCTGCTCTGCCTGCCTGCTGGTTGTTCTGCTTTGGTTTTAAGGCAAAATGGTCAAAAAGAAGGACCAAAATGAGGTCTGGGTGCTACTGGGGTTAGTGCAAGGTGGCACCAACGTCATCTTCAGCACTTTTCCACCAGGTCATGTCCATGCCTGGAAAATTTGGGGCTAGGCCAGCTTTGGCACCCAGGGACGTTACCCAGCTGCACCCCTGGTTGGATGATGGGTGGCAGACTGGCCATGACACCACCCTTACAAGGATCCCGTGGGGATGGAGTGGGTCTGGGGTGAAGGAACTGATTTAGCCACCTTCCCTGTGTGATCTGGGAGCTCAAAGCAGGAGGAAAGCCTTGATCATAGATACTTCGTGGGAATTGCCAGCCAAAAATTAGCCTGGACCTGCCTAATTTTTGGTAGTGAGCCTCTGGAGAAGCTCAGCATCCTTTTCTCTGCACAGCTGGAAGCAGGGATGTAGCTGGTTATGCCTTATTTCTGTGAGTGTGTTTGTGCTGTTTCAAACTGGTACCTTGGCATGGATGTGGGGTGGGAGACCAGTGCTGTGGGCACCCCAGTGGCAACACTGAGGTTGGATGCAGCTTCAACACAGCCTGACCCAGCCTCGGGCAGCCCCTGAGCATACCTCCTCGCTGGACACCGCATCCCATGCTCAGGGTGGGTTTGGTGAGGCTGGAGCCACCCCCTGGGAAGCACAATGATGCCTGAGGTCCTGGGAACATCTTGTGAGGCTTTGGTTTGCAGGGGAGAAGGGCTCTTGCTGCCTTTATGATGGGTCTGGGGGCTGAAGCCCGCACTCCTTGCTGCAGGCCTGGACCACTGCCTGGGTCCGCTCTCCCTGCTCTGGGGCTCAGGAGATGCTCTGGAGGTGGATGCCCCACACTAACCCGCACTCTCCATTCCCTTCACAGCCCACGCCAAGGGGCCACCCCCCAGCCCGGAGCCCGCCGAGCCCCCCGGTGCTATCACACTGCCCGTGAGCTACCGCCTGTCCAACACCCGCTTGGCCTTCTTCCTCAAGGAGCTGGGAGCCAGCCCGGTGGGCAACAGCAGCACCCCGCTGCAACGGGCAGAGCCCTTCGTCGTCTTCCAGACCAAGGAGCTGCCCGTCCTCAACGTCACCCTGGGGCCCTTCAGCACGGGGCTGGTGCTGCCCAAGGAGCAGTTGCAACCCTCCAGCACCTTGGAGGTCCCCGACCGCCTCACCGTCAACTGGAAGGTGCGCGCCTTCATCGTCCAGCCCCGGCTGGTGGCCAGCCAGCCCGTGGTCCAAGTGCTCTTCTACGTCACCGGCCGGGATTGGGACGATTTCGATGTCACGGACCGGCTGCCCTGCGTGCGGCTCCACGCTTTCCGGGATGCCCGTGAGATCAAGAGCTCGTGTCGCCTGCGGGGCAGCCTGGCCATGTGCCTGGTGCAGGCAGAGCTGCCCCACGCCTGGTTCGGACCCCCGGCTGTGCCGCTGGGCAGGCGGAAGAGCCCCGAGAGCCTGGAGGTGCCGGGTGAGAGCCAGCAAGCCGAGCTCTACTACACCCTGCATGCCCCCGATGGGGCCGGACAGTGCCTTGGGGAGATGGTTCCCCGCCGTGGGGCTGGGGGAGCCAGGACTGAGGGTCCCACCCAGCACCCGCTGCTGCGCATCGGCAGCGTCAGCCTCCTGCAGCCCGGCCCGGGGCAGCCCATGCAGGAGCATCGGCTGGATGGCAACGTCTTCATCCGCCTGCCCGACAAGCCCCTCAAGCCAGGCGAGGTGCTCAGCATCCTCCTCTACCTGATGTCCAACTCCACCGTGGAGCACTTCACCCTCAGGTAAGGTGCTGGGGCTGTCCCCACTCCATCCTTTCAATGATGGGGTTGTTTTGGCAGCGCTGTGCAAATGCAGCCGCGGGCAGGAAGGAGAGGATGGAACGGCATATTGCGTGTATGGAACCTGCTGGCAGGGCTTTGGGAAGCTGAGGGAGGCCAGAGATGCACCCAGCACGTGGGTTTGCAATGTTCTGGGGCTTTGCAGTAGGACCTTGTTGAAGGGAAGGGCTGTCCATCCAGGGTTTTCATCTCTGCGTTGCCACTATGGACTGCTGCCTTTGCCCAGTTGCACTGGGATTAGGGCCCCACCAACAGATGTGGGTTTGTTCACAGGCACTTTGGGAACAAGGTGTGGAATGACAAGGGGGCTGCTGCTACTGTTCTGTGGGGCAGCACTGGGATGGGGGACAAAACTGCTGGATGGTGTGAGGCAAAATCCTATGGGAACGAGGGGCTGGGGTGGGCTCAGCCCCATGGCTGCTGCTGACAGCCTGGATGGTGTTTCCTACAGCCAGCAGGGATCAAGGGCAAAAATCCCCCTAGGGGAGGGTCCAGGGGTGCCGGGGGTGAGGCTCCATCCCTGACCATCGCTCTCCACAGGGTGAAGGCCAAGAAGGGTGTCAACCTGCTCAGCACCAAGTCAAGGAGTGGGCAGTGGCTGGTGAGCTCGGAGCTGCTGACGGGCGGCAAGCACTCCACTGCCACTGTGGATGTCTCCAGGGTGGACGGTGCTGGGCCCAGGTAAGGGCCCCCCTGTGCCTGCCCCCCATAACCAGGGGATTGGGGGGGAAATGGCTGGGGTTTGACATGGAGCTGTTCTCCCTTTGCCCTCGCGCCGGGTGTCCGGCTGGCTGCAGTGCCAAGTGGGTGCTGGTAGGGGAAACTGAGGCACGGCTTGGACTGTGGAGGCACTGAAGGGCAATGAGCAGTGTTGAGGTCAAGCCCTCAAAGCCAGCTGAGGTTGGGGCAGGCCCTGCACTGGTTTGGGAAGGGGCTTGATGTTGTGTGTGGTTTTTAACCATCCGGCACCTTGTAGCAGGCTAGTGGGAAGGTGAAGGCGGGAGTCATGGCCCAAGGTGGGCAGGTTTGCGGTCAGGCAGGCAGCTGCCCAAGGGCTGGTGGTGTATTCAGGTGGGATCTGCTCCATGGTCAACACAGGGAACCAAGCTGGGGCTCAAGCAAGTGCTCCTAAATCATGGGTACCATTGAGCAGCCGCATTGAGCTGGGATTACCTGGATGCTGGAGGATACAGGCGGTGGATTTGGAGGCTGAATTGTGAAGCCATGGAGCATCCCCAGTTTGGAGTGGAAGTGTTGTGGGTTTAAAAGAAGGTCTAATACCATGAGAGGCAGCAGCTCTTTGTTGACTATCCTGGTGTCTCCTCTGGGAAGGAAGGGGAGCAGTCCCCAGGCAACGTCTCTCTGGATGATGGATGAGTGTCAGAGGGGGAGCTTGAACCAGGGCAGCACCTGAGATGGGCAGAGCAAGTTCTGCCCTGCTTAACACAAAGATGATGCTCATTGATGGGGCACCAGGAAAGGCTCGGGTCGGTTGAGTAGAGACCGGGGGATAGAAATGAGATTGGTCCAAAGGAGCAAGGACCCACAAAGCCAAGGTGAAAACCCAGAGGTTGCTCAGCCTGGAGAAGGGGAGGCTGTGGAGGCTGCAAGAGCAAGCGGCAGCTTTGCTCCTTGCATCCATGTGGGTAGGACGCGGTGAGCAAGGGCAGGGGTGGGCACAGTGTCAAAACCATTAACAGGAGTCTCTGAAGTGCTGGAAAGCAATTGTTCTCCATCACTGTGCCTATGGGAAAAGGGAGACGAGTACCTCCAGGAGCTGGGTTAAGTGAGTTGATGTGATTCCTGCTCTCTGCATAGGGAATCTTCTGATATCTCTGCCCCACACTGAGGGAAGCAGGGGCTGACCTCCTGCAGAAAGGAGAAGCTCAGCTCTGACCCCTTTTAAACGTGAGCTCAAAACCCATCTGCAGGCCCCCCTCCATAGGGCTTACCCGGAGGGTGGATTTTCCATTGCTTCCAAAACGCAGCCGCAGCATCCCAGCCCGCAGCCCCAGGATGTGATGTCCTCTGGGGGATGATGATGGACACCAGAGTGTCCCCAGAGCCATGAGCCCCCCCCTCCTCTGCATGGCCACCCCTGTGCATGCTGCCAGCAGCGAGCTCCTCTCCCCTGTCCCTTCCCCCTCTCCCTGCCTGCCACCGCTGCTTCACATCAGGCAGGAAAGGTTAGAGACGGAGGATGAATTTAAAGTGATTACAATCACCTTTTAGACAAACAACTCCATCAAATATTAACGCAACGGCAAGTAGGAATGACTCAAAGCCGTGTTGCCCTGCGGGCTGCGCTGCCGGAGGAGGTTGCCTTGCTGGGGCTCTGGGGGCTTTTGGCTGTGCAGAGAAAGCCCTGAGCTTTGGGGTGATAATAGCTAATTTGGGGTGTTCTGTTGCACCCCGGCTGCATCCTAAGTTATTCCACCAGCCTGAGCAGCCCTGCTCTTGTCTCTGCCGTGGCTGAGTGCAGATGATGCTTGGGGAGGGCAGAAGATGGTGGCATCCCATGGGCACCCCATGTCGAGGAGTCCCGGTGCTGAACCACCTCTGGCATGCAGCTGCAGCTCTGGTTTGCCTTTGAACCTGGCTCTTCCTGGCTGTACTTAATACTTATGCACTGAAAGAGGTAGAGAGCAGCCCAATCCCCTTCTCCAGAGTGGGTGGCCTTTGGCGATTCCCTTGCACTCCCATAGGGTGACAACCCTGGGGGCACAAAGTCCCATCAGGACCTCACCAGCCAATGCAAAGCCCATTGTCCCTGCTGTGGGAGCACAGAGCAGGGCTTGCCGTGCCCTGGGGTAGCCCCGTGGTTTTGCTCTCCTCTATCTCTGCTCCCTTTCACTCATTAGATATTTATCAGAGAGAAACCCGAGTGCATCCTGCATCCCCCGATCGCTGGGACCTCCTTAACGGCTGCTGTGCTGTGAGATGGGAGCGGAGCCGATCCCGGCTTCCCAATCCATAGGGATTTCACCTTTCCTCACCCCACTCCCTCCTCCAGCTCTGGGAGGGCTTTTGTTGGCTCTGCAGTTTGTGGGGGCTCTGGGGTGTCCCCTGAAGATGCTCTGGTTTGGGGGAGCAGTGGAGAAGTTTAACCTGGGGAGGGGTTGATCCCTGGGTCCCCTTAAGGGATTTGCAGGTTGGACACAAGAGATAGGAGGGCAGGGTCGCACTTGGGGATGTTTGCTCATAGGGGTGAGGTGTGAGAGTGATGATTTATGCTGCTGTCAGACCGTGTCCAAGCTAGGATGCAGAGGACAAGGGACACCAGCTCCTGAGTTCCCTGTCCCCTTAGGCACTATGTGCTGGGTTTGGCAGCACCCAGCCTCTCCAGCCTGTCCTGCCTTGGGATTGCCCCACAGTTCATTCCCTGTCCATTAGCTCTGGGTCCTCAGTAGTGGTATTAAATGTGTGGGGGTTTGATGAGCTGATGGTACTGGAGCTGTTATCACCTGCTGGTCCTGTCTTACCTCACCCATCCCCTGCCCATCTGCCCTCTGCATCCCCATGGCTGTCCATACAGGCTGAGGGACAGCCCTGCACTGTGTCACAGCTTGGTGTTCTCTCACCTGCTGTCTGTGATTGAATCTCTTTCTCCCGTGCCTCAGTTTCCCCATATGATCCCCTTGGAAAGTGCTGTAAAGTCAGTGGCTTGGACTGGGCTCTTGTATAGAGACTTTATGTCGTGTCCTTGAGCATGCTGCCCTCCTGGGTGCAGGGGACCCCTGCAGAGATGGGCATGGAGGCAGGAGCAGTGTGGGGTGGTAAATCCAGTTCTGCTCATGGGAAATACAGCTCTGCTGCTGGGAAGATGGAGCTGGAGAGGCAGGGAAGCACCTGCAGCCACTCACTGTCCCCAGGGCCATGGCCACACACTCACCCCGTGATAAGCTATCACCCAGCAGCCTTGCATGTTCTGCATCCATAGAGGGTCCTGGTCCCCGGGAGCCTATGGGACCTGGGGCACCCGGCTCACTGTGTCCCCTCCTGTCTCCTGCCCAGGGACGGGGACTCCTCGGAGATCATGCAGCTGGATTTCGAGATGGAGAACTTCACCAGCCAGTCGGTGACGCGCCGCATCATGTGGCACATCGACTACCGGGGCCGCAACCCGCCGCCCGACCTGGAGAAGGTGGTGACGGAGCTGACGGTCATCCAGAGGGACATCAGGGCCATCGTGCCCCTGGCCATGGTGAGCGGGTCCAGGTCCTCTGCTGAGCTTATGCTGGGGATGGGTTGCATCCCCCCTGAGGGACCTCCCTCAGCCCATCTGCCCCCTAGCACCTATACATCCGTACATCCCACCCCGCCTCCCACCCACAGGTCCTTCTCTGCCCCAGGGCTGGAGCAGGAGAGGGGCCAGCCAGGATGTTGAGGCTGCCCTCTAACGTGACAGTCCCCTTTGCACCCCAGGACACGGAAATCATCAACACGGCCATCCTGACGGGGCGGACGGTGGCCATCCCCGTGAAGGTCATCGCCATTGAGCTGAGCGGTGTCATCGTGGATGTCTCTGCTATGGTTGAGTGCAAGTCCAACAACGAAGACATCATCAAGGTGGGTGTGGGTTGGGGGCTCCTGTGACCCTCATGAGGGGCTGAGCCTCTTCCAGGGGTGCTGAGCCCAATAGTGATGCGAACTGGGACTGGCGGCTGAGCTGACGGGCTGCACAACCCCACAGCATCCAAAACATCATCCCCGCAGTGGCTTCAGTCCATGTGTGCCTCTCCCTGGGATCTGTTGGGAGAAGGACAAGATGCTTTGTCACTGTCTCCAGAGAGGCTGTGGGATGCTGGCACCAGGCAGCAGCAATAACTATGGGTTATCAGAGCACTTAGTGCTGATAAGGTGAAATATTGTCACCTCGCGGTGTAAGCTGCAGGTTTCCATCAGCAGCTTCACTCGTGCCTCCAGGTGACGTTTATCTCATGTTTGGATTGGGTACCAGGCTGGCCCCAGAGAGGGATGTGGGAATGAGCTGGGCGGCTGGGGAGGATGGAGGGAAAAGGGGGGCTGAGAGAGAGGAGCACCATGGGCTGCATGGGAGAGATGCTGATCAGGTGAGTGCAAAGGGCTCGCTGTTGCAGCAGCAGCTGAGGCAGCATTGTCCTCAAATCCAGCCATGATTTTTCCATCACCAGACCCATCCATCCATATGCATTTTCCTTCCCTTGTATGTATCCATCTCTCCACCTGCCTGCACTATTCTGTCACCATTTCCCCCCATCCATCCACCCCTAGACATCGTTACCTTCTCCCAAACACCTCCTGCCCCTCTCCCTGCATGCACCCCCCCAGCCCACCCTCTCCATGTCTCTGCTGGACTGGGCAGAGAGCCGTGCTGGGGGTTCATAGCCCCTTCTCCCCTTGTTCGCCAGCAGCCAGTGGCCAAGCCAGGGGTGATGAGCAGAACCCCAGCTCCATTGGGACTTTCTCTCCCTGCTGGTCCCTGGCTGGGTGACAGGCAGTGTCACAAAGTGTTTACCCAAGTTCTTGACTGAAACTCCAACCTGTGCGATTTACAGCCCCGGCTCTAATTTATGGAGCCCGCTCCTCTGCAGTGTGATAAAACACTGGAGCAATAATACACTTCAGGATGGACTCCAAGACACTTAAACTGTTTAATGTGCTGCCTTTCTACTCATAAATCTATTTACGCACTGTCCCCAGCCCAGGGTGTGGGGTGGGGAGCAGACACATGCACACGAGCCGGGATGAATAATGCATGGAGCAGCCCTCCGGCCCCGGCTCGCCTCCCGCTCGCTGCTCGGAGCCCCGTGCAATTGCTTGCTGAGTTATTTTGTGTTTGTGCTGGAGCTTCGCTTCCGAGGGAGCTCTCGGTTACCTGCTGAGATTGGGGAGTATGATTGCGGTGTCAGGGCTATAAACCTGTTACATAAATCAGAGCTTACATAGTGGGATGTGCTATCTGTTACCGTAAATAATTTAGCATGAATGAGGGCTGGGGAGACGCTTCTCCCCACGCTGCCTGTGGCTTGGTGCCGCTCGCTCTCATGTGGAACGTGGAGGGAACGTGTTCTGGATGTGGCTGTGAAGGTGCCAGGGCTGCTCACGAAGGGCGGTGGGTGTGAGCGTGGGTGGCAGTTGTCATCCTCACCCCCTCTGTGATGACACAGGGTGAATGCCCGTGCTCGGCCCATAGAGGAGGACCTCGTCACTTGAGGTAGTGTAGAAATAACCCCTGTTGCCTGCCCATGCGGTGGCCTTGGGGGCTCTGTATGCGCTAAGGGATGCACAAGCCACAAGCCCACCTCTGTTGCCAGCAATGCTCAATGGGAGATGCTCACCATCATTTGCTCTGTGAACCTTTCTCGGGACCCCACCATCCACACCTGCTTGAGGACGCACTAGGAGCAAGTGGGACTGAGCCTCCGTGACCCACAGCCACCACCAGGACCCCCTGGGCGCCATCAGCTGTGGTGCCTCTTCCCACTCCCCAGGCCCTTGGAGCAGATATTGCAGCTTGATTGCATGCTTGAGGCTGTGCCAAGGGGGAAGCTCCTGGCCACAGAAGCGGAGCCAGCAGTGCCTTGGCTCGGAGCCCAGGCAGACCTCAGCCTCTCGCTTCCCGACGCCGCGCTGCAGATCCGGGAAGTTTCTCTGAACAAGCGTGCGCTTCATTTAGAACCTCATCTGCAGTCACTCCATCATCAGGACAGCCCTGACGGGCTGGGATATTTTGTTGTCATAGCTGTAACCCTCCCCGCCTTTCCCAATTGCAAAGCAAGCGCTCCCCAGAAGTTGCAGGGGGAGGGTTTATTAGCTAAGGTAACGCAAGCAGCAACCCACCGTATGTATTGTGATAAATGGCACAATATCCAGAGCCCTCCTTTGCTGGAGGGTTCACCCAGGAGCTCATCTTTATTCAGACGCTGCCCTGACAGAGATGAGATTGTCTTTTCAGACGTGCTGAGCTGGTATCCGATAGGAAGACAAGGAACAGCCCCTCCTGCATTGCACTTCCCTCCCGTGCCCGCGGAGCAGGAGCTTCCCAAGGCTCTTGGGTCCTGGGCTCTGCCTGGGGAGCACAGGCACCTTGCAGGAGGTTCCTGCAGCCAACACGTGGAGCCTCTGCAGGAGTCAGGCTTGCGGGCTTGGAGATGCAAAGCTCCTGCAGCTGAATGACCACAGGTGCCCAAAGATAAGGTGGGGAGAGTGGCAGCGACGCTTGCACCTCTGCTGTCAGCTACCGTGCAGCACCGACTCAGCCCCTTATCAGCCATCAGAGAATCCACGTGGGAGAGTGGCTTGTTGGAAATAAGTCCTTCTGTGCTGTTGTGAGATGCTTGGTGCATCTCCAAGTGACTGCGCTGCTGGCTGGGCCAATGGGTTTTATTCTTCTCCAGCAGCAAACAACTTGGATGCAATCCCTGATGGTGTAGGAGGGGAAAAAGGGAGTCAGTATTGAGCCATGGGGCCACTGCAGATGAGAGGTTGGAGTTCCCTTGGCCCGGTTGTCTTCTGCCTTGCTGGGAAGGAGCTGTTGACTCTGATTGCCTAAGCTGAAACGCAGGTGATGCTGCATTGGCATCCTCTCAGCGGGTCGGGTTGATCAGTAATAAGTGGTCCCCTGTGGCATGTATTTGTTTTATAGCAAATTTAACCAATGGCATTTGCATAGATGGGAATTAAAAGAGAAAGGGCGAGAAGATGAAGATGAGGATTCAGATGAGCTGCAGGAAGCTCTCTGTGGTGTTAGCAGGAGGGACAGGGACAAGGCACTGGGGGGTACCTGCACAGGGACACGCAGTGGGTCTGTGCTTGCTGCCTGTGCCCTCTGGGTATGGGTGGAGGAGACTTCGGGGCAGATGTCCAGCATGAGCAATGTGTAACCCCTGTGAAGCACCCATGGGTGCCTCCAGCTTGAGAGCAGAATAAGGATACAACTCAGTGCCAAACAGACTGAGGCATCAAGTGAAGGTGTCTGGTTGAGGTGGCAAGAGGGAAATTTGCATTATGGACATGGTGTGTGTGGGTCTGTGCTTCTGAGCAGGGATCTCCGGGAGCAGAGAGCGTCTTTGCTCCTGGGGCCACCTTTTTCTGGGTACATGGTGGTGAAATTCTCTTGTTTCAGCACTTCCCATCCTCTGGGCAGGCTCCTTCCAGGATCTCCGGTGTGTCTGTAGGGCTGCTGTAACCCTCCATCCTCCCTTCTCCCCCAGGTCTCCAGCAGCTGTGACTACGTCTTCGTCAGTGGGAAGGAGTCGCGGGGCTCCATGAGCGCCCGGGTCACCTTCACCTACGAGCACCTCTCTGCCCCGCTGGAGATGACAGTGTGGGTGCCCAAGCTGCCGCTGCACATCGAGCTCTCAGACGCCCGCTTGAGCCAAGTGAAGGGCTGGAGGGTGCCCATCCTGCCGGACAGGAGGTGGGTGCTGCGGAGTCACCGTGCCGGGGGGTCTGTCCAGCCTGAAGGAGGCACAGTGAAGGTGGTGGTAGTGGTCGAGTTGCCTTGTTTGGATCTTTAATGAGGGGAGGATTTGAGGATGATGGAGGCAGCGTTGTCTCAGGAGCCCTATGAAATGGTGAGAGAGTGTGGCTACAGGTTGCGTGTTTGTATGGAAGGAGGAAAATCTCACCGTGAGGTTGGTCAATTATATTGATCAATAAATATATTATATTGGGAGAATTATAACACCCAGGGACCAGCACAACAGCTGGAGCTGGTTGGGAGCATCCATCCTTGGCAATGGTCAAAACATCCCTGGAGGAGGCCAGGAGCAACCAAGCTCCAAAGTTAGCCCTGCTTTGAGGTCTAGAGACCTCCAGTTGTCCATCCCAACCTGAGATCATAGAATCAGAATGGTTTGGGTTGGAAAGGACCTTGGGATCATCCAGTTCCAACCCCCCTGCCATGGGCAGGGACACCTCACACTAAACCATGGCACCCAAGGCTCCGTCCAACCTGGCCTTGAACACTGCCAGGGATGGAGCATTCACAGCCTCCCTGGGCAACCCATTCCAGTGCCTCACCACCCTTACAGGAAAGAATTGCCTCCTGATATCCAACCTAAACTTCCCCTGTTTAAGTTTTAACCCGTTACCCCTTGTCCTGTCACTACAGTCTCTAATGAAGAGTCCCTCCCCAGCATCCCTATAGCCCCTTCAGACACTGGAAGCTGCTCTGAGGTCTCCATCAGCTTCTCTTCTCCAGGCTGAACAGCCCCAACATTCTCAGCCTGTCTTCATAGGGTGCTCCAGCCCCCGAGCATCCTCGTTGCCCTCCAGATGAGATGTCTGCTCCTCCCAGCTGGTTAGGGGGCAGAGATGCTGGTGACCCTGTTACCATGTGCTGCTAAAACCTTATGGGCAACAGGCATCTTTTGGTGACCTGGTGTTTGTCCCTGCCTGGCCCCCCTTCTCCCTTCCTGTGAGGGCAATGAGGAGCTCGGTAGCACTGCCCACCACCACTGCCCCATCCCGCAGGTTGGTGCGGGACAGCGAACACGAGGAGGATGAGGAGGAGCGGAGGCAGAGCCGGGGCTGTGCCCTGCAGTACCAGCACACCACGCTGCAGGTCTTCACCCAATTCCACACCACGGCGGCGGAGGGCACGGAGCAAGTGGTCACCATGCTAGGGCCCGACTGGCTGGTGGAGGTCACCGACCTGGTCAGCGACTTCATGCGTGTGGATGACCCACGGGTGGCCCACATGGTGGACAGCTTCACGCTGGCCGGCAGGGAGCCGGGCACCACGCTCTTCAAGGTACCCCATCTCCCCACCTCTGCCAGCTTGGCTTGGGGTGGCAGGAGGTGATGGGTACCCTGGTCCCCTGCAGGTTGTGTCCCCGCTCATGGAAGCGGTGCTGGGTGAGACGCTGGTGACGGTGGCGGAGGAGAAGGTGAGCATCACGGACCTGAAGGCCCAGGTGGTCTCCAGCCTCTCGCTGTCCCTCCACCCCAGCCCTGGCAACAGCCACACCATCATTGCCCGGACGTCCGTGCAGCAGAACCTCAGCTTCTTCAAGCAGGTGAGGCCAGGAGGGTGCACGTGGGCTTGGTGGGGAGCTTGGGTTGGGTGAGGGCTCCAGCTGTAAACCTCCCCTCCCAAATCCTGCTCACGGTCATCCCGGACCCTCAGAGCACCCCAGAAACCTTCACACACTTGTGAACCAACCCTGCCCCAAGGGCAGGATGCAACCGTGGGGACAAAGGGGCTTGGAACAAATCCTATAGCTTTGGTAGCCGCATCGGGCACCTCTGGGGCTGGGGTTTGGAGTGAGCCTGGACAAACATGGGGAACACTGAGGAAAGAAGATGTAAAAAGGGAAAGCTAGGTGATGTTTGGTAGGAATAAGATGGATGATGGAGGGATAAAGGGTGAATTGGATGGGGAGAAGGATGAAAAGGAGGAGAGATTGATGGAGGGATGGACAAATGGGTGCAGGTGGGACTGGCATCCTGCTGGGCAACCGGTGCCTGTGTTGGTCCCGCAGGAAGCGCTCCTGAGCCTGTGGATTTCCTACAGCGACGGCACCACGGCCCCCCTGTCCCTCTACGACCCCAAGGACTACAACCTGGTGGTGAGCAGCCTGGATGAGAAGGTGGTCTCGGTGACCCAGGACCGGGCGTTCCCTTTGGTGGTGGCACAGAGCGAGGGCGCAGGGGAGCTGCTGCGGGTTGAGCTGGTCATCTGCGAGAGCTGCCAGAAGACCAAGCGCAAGAGCGTCCTCTTCACAGCCTTGGCCAACGTGCGGGTCCACTTTGGGTCCGAGGAGGACCCAACCTATGACTATGACCACGTCCCCAGCAAGCCAGGGCTGGCGGAGACGGGGGCAAGCACCACCCTGCGGGCAGAGGTGGAGAGGAAAGCGGAGCCAAGCGAGGACAGTAGGATGTCCAGCGCATCTCATCCCACCGAGGACTTCCCCACCATCCCCACGGGCTTTGTCCAGGTGACCAGGGGGCTCACAGACCTGGAGATAGGCATGTACGCCCTCCTGGGTGTCTTCTGCCTGGCCATCTTGGTCTTCCTCATCAACTGCATTGTCTTTGTGCTGAAATACCGGCACAAACGTATCCCGCCTGAAGGCCAGACCAACATGGACCATTCCCACCACTGGGTCTTCCTGGGCAACGGGCAGCCCTTGCGGGCTCACAATGACCTCTCCCCCCAGCCCGAAAGCCCTGGGAACCCGCTGGAAAACGTCCAGACCTGCTGCCACGGGGACCACCACAGCAGCGGGAGCTCACAGACCAGCGTGCAGAGCCAGGTCCATGGCCGTGGGGACGGCTCCTCGGGGGGCTCCACACGGGACCAGAGCGAGGACCCGCTCAACTCCCCCACCTCCAAACGGAAGCGGGTGAAGTTCACCACCTTCGCCACGCTGCCCTCCGACGAGCTGGCCTACAACTCCATCCCCATCGCTGATGAGGAGGACTTGGAGTGGGTCTGCCAGGACATGGGGCTGCAAGACCCCGAAGAGCTTCACAACTACATCCGCAGAATCAAAGAGATCGCTTAGCGCAGGGGCAGAGGGGATGGGGCGGGAGGGAGGGGGCTGCCACGCTGTGCCACGCCACGCCACGCCGTGCCACGCCACGCCACGCCACACCAGCCGTGTCCCCGGGGCTGGAGACCCACGTTCAGCTCTCTTTTGTGCGTCCCCTCTTCCGCACATCTCACGTCCTCACCCCGTTGGAAGGCACCCACTGGGGCCTTGTTCTTTCCGTGCCCTTTATCATCTGGTTTTCCCAGAGGAGGCATCAAGCACACGTGTGGCCCCCCCAACCCGCTGGCTTGTGGTGGGGGGCAGAAAAGGGAGCCGGGGTGGGGGGCAGAGATGGATGGGGTTAGAACCTCTGTGCGTGTCCAGTGGTGCACGGGGCAGGATGATGCTGCGGGTCCTGCTGTGCAGGGAGCGGAGGAGAAGAGATGCTCAGCGGGAAGGTGGCTGGTGGGGGCTTCCCGAAGGCACCCCCCTGCCTTTGCTGCACTCGGTGGCACAACTGTGGAGGTGAGTGCTGGTTCAGGGATCTGCTGTTGGAGTGTTGGGGGGCTGCCCCAGCCAAAGCCTGCTGCCCCGTGCTGTGAGTGATGCAGGATGGGGATCCGAGACCCACGGCCACGGGGCTGGGGCACTGCTATCACCACCACCTGCTGTATCAGCACTAAATGCTGCGAGTCCTGTGGGATGCTGACACTAATGTTTGCCACATGAGGACCTCCTGGGGAGCACGGCAGCTGCCTCTGCCCCACCTCGCTGCCTGGGCAGGGGCAGTTTGGGGTGGCCGCCAAGCCTGCTGCCTATGAGCTTGCCTGTCCTTGTGTCTCTCTGTGCTCCCAGCTATGGGGCCACCCAACAGCCCTGCTGGGACCTCCAGGGCTGGTTCCTGCGCCGCTGCTGATGGGATGTAGCTCTGGGACTGGGAGGTGCTGTGGAGGCTTCCCGCTACTGCAAGTGGGACACAAATGGACCTGGCCTGAGTCTCCCAGTGCCCATTCCCCAGTGCCAGCCCAGTGTGGATGCCCGGAGCCAGGCTCAGCCTCTGTGGTGCCTTCTGACTGCCATAACCCAACACCTCCCCGCTCACCCCATGCTGGTGGCAGCTCCCAGCCCCTCTGGCTCATTGGAGAGGCCTCTGCCAGCCCAGGGCAACCCCATGTCCAGTGAGAGCATCCTCAGCCAGGTTCACCCCATGGTTACCAGGGCTGGTGGTCCTATGGTCACTGATGGCTCGGGGATGGGGACCCCCTCCAGCATCACCCAGTGGAGGGGGAGCGGAGGCTGGCAGGGGATTATTTCTGGATTGGAAGTTACCCACCACTGTGTCTCTTTATTTTATTTTTTTTCTTAAATAAAAGTCCAGAAAAGAAAAAACCAACGAAAACAAAAAGCCAAAACCAAACGGTATTGCAGCACTGTGAGGGGCTGTATCGCTGCTGGGGTGCCCGGGGAGGGGATGCTACCAGTGGTTTGGGATGGACACACACACACACACATACACATACACACACTGACAGGGTCCTGGGCCCCCTTCCTAAGCTCTGAGCGCTTTGGGGTCAAAGCTGTGGATGTGGGGCTTCCCCACTCCAAACCCCCCCTCCCTTAGGCAGCCTGATCACAGCTCCGGGGTCAGGGCCAGGCGATGCTGCAGCCCCATCTTTGCTGGCCAAGCAGCAGCCTGTGGTTGTGTGCTGTGTTTCAGAAGCCTCTTTAAAGAGTTTATCAGAGGCCTTAGAAGTTACCTGCTAGCTCTGTGCTGAATTTATATATACATATATACAGGGGGATTGAGATGTGCTCAAAGGCCAGGAGGATGATGCAGTTGTTAGGTTTTGCTGTGCCCTGTTATCTAAAGGACCCAGGTCTGGCTGAACAAGCCACTAAGCCGATAGCAGCTCCAAGCAGTGAAATTAATACAGCTGACTTCCCTGCTTGGAAGTGCCAAACCTCCCTGTTACATTAACATCTATGAATAGCTGTTAAAAAAAGGAGTAATAAATGAAAAAGCAGAGGGGGAAGGTAAGAAAAGTATGTAATAAAATCTCATCCTTGTAATAACACAGCATCCTGCTCCGTGAGCACATCCCAAGGGAGGTGGAAGGTGGTGGGTCAGGGATGAGGTAGCTTGAACAGAATCAGCATGAGGTGTCCTTGTGGCTGAGCTGATGACAGGGTTTGCTCCTCGCCCCCTTCTTCTGGCTGCTTTCCACCAGCCCCCCTTGAGCAGTGCTCGATGGCTGTAGCCAGGCCCAAGATCTGACACCAAGCATCAGCACTGGTTTTCCAGCCCATTGCTTCCCATTTCGGCTGATGGATCTGTCTTGGGTCTCCACGAGCCCTTGGGAAGGCAGCACCCATGGGCCCAGGGGAGCCCAAGCTGTTGGCAGGGGTTGATGATGCTCTCATGCCCATGTCCTACCAGCAGCTCTTGCCACCCAGGCACCTCCATCCAGCATCCCTGCTTATGGGGATGGTGCAGTGCTGGGTGAGGGCACCAGGGAGGGCGAGAGACCTGCTCAGCATGGCTTTGCTTTTCAATGAAGAGAGCAAAACCTTCTATAGAGCTGTATAGCTATCTATATATTGATATATAAATATGTATATATTGATACTTCATACATATGTATATATTTATACCTTATACAAATGTATATATATGCATATATGTCTATGCATATATATGTTTATATATTTGTATAAATAAATATATATATATATAAAGGATGTATGTGTGCAGTCCGTGTGTACATTGATGCAAAGGGCTTCGCTAGGGTGCAAAGGTGCGTGTATGCACATACAGACACCTATAAAGGCACACACACACACTTGCACCTGAGCATCACCCACCATCCCATTAGCTGAAGCTCACCAACGTGTATTTGGGTTCCTGATGCCCTTGGAGCAAATGTACCAGGAGGCAGCAGGCAAAATGCTGGGGATAAAGCCCAGGAAAACGGGAACACTGTGGAGGCTTCGCTGGAGCCTGGTCCCTTTCCCAGCTGGTTCCCTTCACTCCAACTGCTGAGATTTCGTTTTTCCCCATCAGGAATGATCAGCTGGAACATGGGATGAAAAAAGACCCAGGAAAGCAGTGGGAGATGCTGTGATTTAGGATGCTGCAGCCCACACTGGTGCTGGGGGCTGGTGGCACCCACTGGCACAGGCCACCCAGCCAGTCTGAACCCAGCGCCTTACTGCTTCAGCTCCCATTAAACACTCCCTACCAAACAGCCAAATCTCACTGAAGGGAAAATAGGCAAACTAATGGAAAAGGAGGCTCTGTGGCAGCTCCCCTCTCGCGCTGCCCTCTGTTTGTTCCCTGTTTGTTCTCCACTGCCTTTTTCCTGTTTAGCTTTTACTATCTGCTCCCAGCAGGCAGGGACCAATTTGCATTTTAATGCAGCGTGGTGAGGCTGCACAACCACCTGTGAGGATGGGGCAGAGCTGGGGATGCACCCCCATGCCTCTGCCTCCCAGAGGGATGCTTGGTCCCCCCGCATCCTGCCTTAAAGATTCCTTAAAGAACTGATACACACTTAACCCCCCTCCCCACCAAGACAGACCTCATAAAGCATCCGACCCCTTTGTGCAGCACAAAATCAGGGAATGAAAGAGGGGGAAAACAGGGATTTTTCTCTAGAGGTCAGCCCCAGCTGTGCCCCACTCTCCTTCCCCATCCCCTCCTCATCCATCCATCCATCCATCCATCCATCCATCCATCCCTCCATCCATCCCTCCATCCATCATCCCTCCCTCCCTCCCTCCCTCCCTACATCCATCCATCCTTCCCTCCATCCACCCCTCCCTCCCTCCCTCCTTCCCTCCATCTATCCATCCCATTCCCTCCCTCCATCCATCCATCCATCCCTCCACCCTTCCCTCCCTCCCTCCCTCCCTCCCTCCCTCCATCCCTCCATCCCTCCCTCCCTCCCTCCCTCCCTCCCTCCCTCCCTCCCTCCTTCCATCCCTCCCTCCCTCCCTCCCTCCCTCCCTCCCTCCCTCCCTCCCTCCCTCCAATCCATCCATCCCTCCCTCCCTCCATCCCTCCCTCCCTCCATCCATCCCTCCCTCCATCCATCCATCCACCCATCCCTCCACCCATCCATCCACCCATCCCTCCATCCATCCATCCCTCCATCCATCCATCCACCCCTCCATCCATCCATCCCTCCCTCCATCCATCCATCCACCCCTCCATCCATCCATCCATCCCTCCATCCATCCATCCCTCCCTCCCTTCATCCATCCCTCCCTCCATCCATCCATCCATCCCTCCCTCCATCCCTCCATCTCCCCCATCATTTTCTCACGCTGTGGGTTTTCTCCCAACCACCAACAGCTATCAATCAGGGCCCTTTTTCCCCCATCCCTCCCCAGCACATCCTTGTTGTGCTCCCCTTGAGATGCCTCCAGCCACCTCCCCTCCCCATGCACCGTTGTCCCTGTGATGGGACTTTCAGACAGGGACAGGTACCACAAACCCAAGGGGGTGTGGAGGACCCCATCGCTTTCCATCCCTCCCCTCTCCACCACCGTGGCCCAGCGCATGGAGCTGCCCTACATCACAGGGGATGGAGGGATATTCCCGGCAGCGGGAGACCTTTATTTTCCGGGAATACAGGCGGTAACAGGAGTTGTCTCCTCCGACTGGCTGGGAAGGTTTAATTAAAGCAGGCCCCGCTCACTGCCCCCCCCCTCACTGTTGACACTAAATGGGCAGGATTTGTACAGCAGCCAGGATAATGACTTTAGTAATTGCACCATTATTTCTGGGGGCTCTTGGCTGCGGTTTTGCCTGCCTCAGCAAAGACATCTCCCTGCGCAAAGAGGAGGGATGCTTTTCCTCTCCGCATCAGCCAAGAGCTCCAGGGAGTGGGAACAGGAAAGCCCATCAGGTCCCACACTTCTGGGGGGCTCCTCCGATGCTCTGGGAAGCTGTTCCCCTCCTGCCAACTGTGAGTGTTCCCATTCCACCCGGGTCGGGGCTGCCCATGCAGGGAGAAGAGCTGCAGCTGTATCCAGCATCCCTGTGCTGGGAGCAGGATGCAGATCCCTGTTAACACTCGGGAACACAGGGGAGTCTCCACACGGTTTTAGGACCCTGCTATGAAATTCCCACTGTTTTCCAGGAATTCCCCAGTACTTTTAAAGGGATGGTGGGACTGGAGCCCATCTAGGAGGTCTTTAGGGCTTGCTGGCAACTTTCTGCTGCTCTCCAGACTGCCCTTGGCTTGCTGGGAACACTGGGACCTTCCCAGGGTTTCTTTGTCCTTTCCTGGTATTCCCATTAACTTCTCATAAATTCCCAGATCCAGAGCTGGTTTCCAAACCCTTGGCTGCACCCTTGGATAACAGCTTCAGCGAATCAACAGCTGGGTCCAGTGATGCCATATCCCCCCTCCAGCCCACCACAAAAGGGGTTGACTTTGCACTGCCACAGATCCCGCAGCAATGGAGCAGGATCACTCCCCACGGAAGGATGCAGCCAGTGCCCAGCTGATGGTTTGCTAAATAGAGCTATTCCCAACCATGCAGCAGATGCTCCTGATGGTCCCAGCCAAGGAAAGGCCCCAATTCTGTTAGTTCATGGATTTAAAGGTCACTAAAGAGCATCTTGTCTGACCTCAGCCAGCAGTGCCCAATTACCCATCTGCTGGGGCTCTGCATT